AAGAACCACCTAACGAGCCTGAAAGAACATCTAAAAAACGAAGAAAGGGGGAGGGGGGGGGGTAGGTGTCAGGTGGTTCATGGGTGAAACAAACATATATCGAATCAGAATCCACGGTCAGAAAAAACGTTGAGTCAGAAAAGCGTGATCCACGATGGCTTCAGCGCCTCTCTTGCGAGAGGATCACACTGCGCACCCAGGTGGGAAAGCGCAGCAAGTAATTAGACAAGGGTTCACCCAGTAAGATAATCCACGATGAAATGGACGCTGCAACGGAAAGGTGGCTCGGTCCGCTGATTTGCAGATGTTTAAACAAAGGTGTTTCAAGCGCTCAAAACTCACTAAAAGTGGCGGTGGCGCAGCTGCAGTCAGCGGGAAAAGGGTTTGGGGACTATCATGAAGTACCATGAAATCAAAAAGCCGGCAGCAGGGTGGACCAGTGGAGTCAGTGTGTTGTCGAGCAGGAACAGGATCAAGCGTCCTTGATCCCTTCCCATCTGTGATCATAGCTTCGTTGCGCGCAGTAGATCACAGATGCTAAGGGAGACCTCCTGGAAACGGAGGGTGGCACACACACTTAGGATTGGGCGTACGGAACTGAAAGCGGTGCCACACGCCAGCCTAAGTAAAGCCGCCTAAGGTTCCAGGTAGTAAGTTTGAGGCCTCCAAAACCTATGAACAGCGACGGGTGACGACGGGTCGTGCAAATCTGTGGAGTTCCAAAGGTCCAAGCTGCATTAGCCGCTTACTGCGCAACAAAGACTGAGACAGCTTTTGCCATACTTAGGTTTTCAAAAGCAGGTACACCAGGTTGATCAGACCCGGCTTCCACCATCACGCATAGCTTCGTTGGCATGCGTTTGCGTGATGGCCGCATGCCCCCTGCTCAAAAATGAAAACTGAAAACGGAGTCAAAAGTACTGACTACAAGGGGCACAAGGGGAGGCAAAAATTAAGGCTCGGACGAATGTGCAAATGTGCGCGCAGCAAAGACAAAAGAATGAAGACATGAGAAGGAAGACGAGACGGGACAAAAGTGTGTGTGTGTGTGTATGTGTGTGTGGTTGCGATGAAAGAGAAACCAAGTGCACAGGGACAACCGATGAAACCCACCTCATTGTCGAAACCTGGGCGATGAGTTAAAGGTAGATGTGCGCGTACGCACTAAGGCCCGGACCGTTGTACGCGCAAAAGAACGAAAGGAGTGAGATGAAAGGACATGAAGCAAGGGAAGACATGAAAAGAAAGAGGAAAAGAAGTGTGTGAAGGGGAAAGGATGAAAAGGGGAACCAAATGAAGGGCACGGGAACCGATGAAACCAGACCTCATTACAACGACCTAGGAAGACCTGCCTCGTTTTAGTGTGTACAATGTGTGTGCACCTAAGAATCCGACAGACTCCAATGAGTCTAGAACAAACTTGGGCCGCTACGGCCACGTACGCCGTGCCAAAATGGCTGGCTGCTTAGACCGCTGCGGTCACGTACAGGCATGAGCCAGCTTGGAATGCAATAATTCGTCAAGTCTTGGCAAATAACTTTGGCATAAGCCTCCTACGCCCGGTCTGGGCACGTACATCTCCGGGCAGGGGAGATAAAGACAAACCCCCGTTCGACGGGTCCACGGGAGGCACTCTTCGGGCTCATCCCGGGCTCTCACTAGGAGAGACACACTTAGGATTGGGTGTACGGAACTGAAAGCGGTGCCACACGCCAGCCTAAGTAAAACCACCTAAGGTTCCAGGTAGTAAGTTTGAGGCCTCCAAAACCTATGAACACGAGGGCGAACGGCGGCGACGGGTGACGACGGGTCGTGCAAATCTGTGGAGCTCCAAAGGTCCAAGCTGCATTAGCCGCTTACTGCACAACAAAGAATGAGACAGCTTTTGCCATACTTAGGTTTTCAAAAGCAGGTACACCAGGTTGATCAGACCTGGCTTTCACCATCACGCATAGCTTCGTTGGCATGCGTTTGCGTGATGGCCGCATGCCCCCTGCTCAAAAATGAAAACTGAAAACGGAGTCAAAAGTACAATCCAAACGGATCCATGTGACTACAAGGGGCACACACACACACCTCATACCTGCGATT